ATCATGATCCCCCACCCAACCACCAAAACATCATCTCCCAAACCATCCACAACCTCATCACTTCAGGTGACCTCCCACCCACAGCCTCCAACCTCATCGTACCCCAACCCCGCACTGCCCGCTTCTATCTCCTTCCCAAAATCCACAAACCTGACTGCCCTGGTCGACCCATTGTCTCCGCCTGCTCCTGCCCCACCGAACTCCTCTCCACTTATCTCGACTCCATTTTCTCCTCCTTGGTCCAGGAACTCCCCGCCTACATCTGTGACACCACCCATGCCCTCCACCTTATCCAAAACTTCCGATTCCCTTCTTCCCAACACCTCATCTTTACCATAGACGTCCAGTCCCTATATACTTGCATTCCCCATGCAGATGGCCTAAAGGCCCTCCGCTTCTTCCTGTAACGCAGGCCCGACCAGTACCCCTCCAATGACACCCTTATCCATTTAGCTGAACTCGTCCTCACCCTTAGCAACTTCTCTTTCCATTCCTCCCACTTCCTACTGACAAAGGGGGTGGCCATGGGTACCCGCATGGGCCCAAGCTATGCCTGCCTCTTTGTAGGATATGGGGAACGATCCCTCTTCTGAAGCTACACTGGCCCTATCCCTCACCTCTTCCTCCATTACATCGATGACTGACTGTATCGGCACTGCCTCGTGCTCCCACGAGGAGCTCGAACAGTTCATCCACTTCACTAACACCTTCCACCCCAACCTTAAGTTCACCCGGACCATCTCCGATACCCCTCTCTCCTTCCTGGACCTCTCTATTTCCGTCTCTGGCAACCATCTGGAAACCGATATCAATTTCAAGCTCACCGACTCCTACAGCTACCTAGAGTACACCTCTCGCCCACCTTCCTGCAAAAAGGCCATCCCCTATTCCCAATTCCTTCGCCTCCACCACATCTGCTCCCGAGATGAGGCATTCCACTCCCGGACATCCCAGATGTCCTCGTTTTTCAAGGACCGCAACTTCCCCTCCACAGTTGTCGAAAATGCCCTTGACCGTGTCTCTCGCGTTTCCCGCAACTCATCCCTCACACACCTCCTCCCCGCAATAATAACCAAAACAGAATCCCCCTCGTCCTCACGTACCACCCCACCAACCTCCGGATCCAACGCATCATCCTCCAACACTTCCGCCATCTGCAATCCGACCCCACTACCAAAGACATTTTTCCCTCCCCACCCATATCTGCTTTCCGGAGGGACCACTCTCTCCGTGACCCACTTGTCTGCTCCACACTCTCCTCCAGCCCCACCACCCTCAGCACTTTTCCCTGCAACCGCAGGAAGTGCTACACCTGCCCCTACACCTCCCCCCTCACCCCCATCTCCTACCTACCAGCCTCATCCCGCCTCCTTGACCTGTCCGTCATCCCTGGGCCGATCTATCCCCTCCCTAACTCCCCACCTACACTCACCTTTACTGGCTCCAACCCCGCCACATTGACCTGTCTGTCTCCTCTCCACCTATCTTCTCCTTTATCCATCTTCTATCCGCCTCCCCCTCTCTCCCTATTTATTTCAGAATCCCCTTCCCCTCCCCCATTTCTGATGAAGGGTCTAGGCCGGAAACGTCAACTTTCCAGCTCCTCTGATGCTGCTTGGCCTGCTGTGTTCATCCAGCTCTACACCTTGTTGTCTCAAGCAAACTGCAGTGTTCTGAAGAATCAAAACGTCAACTTTCCTGCTCCTCTGATGCTGCCTGGCCCACTGCTCCTCCAGCTCCACACTGTGTGTTATCTGTACATGCATTGTTTTACCGATGCTTCGGCTTGTTGCATCTATACTTACTCCAAGGTGCTCTTTTTTTACTCCCTCCTATTCCTCCTGTTGTGTGTTGACCACTTCATACTCGGATGTGGATCAGCTGTCTAAGGCTGAAAATGAGCAGCTGACCTGATCACGTCAGTTTTCCACCAATTGAGTTAGTTTAAAAATTACCGCATGTTTGGGGCCAAAATAGAAACATTGACACCTGAGGAATTCCAATGAAGAAACAGCAAGTGAGAGAAGAATCAATCCTATCCTTAATGATTTCTTTCTACAGAGGATTTTGAAGCTTATCTTTCCCATACAGGATTGGACACAGGACTTGCCCACAAACCACTCCTGAGAAATGACTGACATTCAACACAATAATCACAACTGAGTTATATTTGACCTTTTAAACATAATGGAATGTCCAAGGCACTTTGTGGGAGTGTTCTGAAATATAGTTTGGTGCTGTGATACATAAGGAAGTATTAGGTCAGTTGACCAAAAGCCTGGACAGTGTGTGAATCAGGAGTGCCTTAAAAGTGGAAGACTAGGTGGAGAGTTGTAGAGAGTGTATTCCAGAGTTTTGGGCTGAGACAACTGAAGGCACAGCTGCCAATGGTAGAGCAGTTAAAGTTAGGAATGCAGAAAAGGTCGGAGTTGAAGGAGTACAAATATTTTGTAGGGTATGGGAGTGAAGGAGAACACAGAGGGAGGGGTGAAGCTATGGTGAGATTTCAAAAGACAGACTTGAATTTTAAAATCAAGTCCTTGCTTCCTGTCAGAAGCAAACAAAGTTACAGCCAGACACAAATTTCAAGAGAAGTTGCAAATGGAAGTATGAAGCAAAATAATGTCTAGGAGGTTCCAAGCAATGAAAGAGCTGTAAAGTAACGTCAGGAATGGCTATAATAAGAAGTATTGTGAAAGGGAGTAGACCAACTTTGCCTTCTTTTCATATATTCTTCCAAAGTGGTTTTTACAGGTCTTGAATTATTGTACAAATCCAATAAATTGCTTTGAGATAATTATAATGGACCCATTTTTTAAAATAAATATGAAATAGTCAAAGTACAATAATAACTTGCTAAACAATGATGGAAATGAATTCGGAAAGTGAGGATCTTAACTGACCAATTTGCTTGACCTTTGAGAATGTCATATCCCACTTCCTTTTGCCTCTTTCCCTTCCTTCTCTTCCCCATTCAACCCTTTCTCTCCCTTCCCAAGTATTCTGAAAATTTTCCTTAAATTATATTTTCTGAAAATTCACTTTTTGACTTTTCTACCCTTTTTCATCAGGTAATTCTGATCGTCTTGCTACAATGGAAGATCTGAAGCATCTCCAGTTTCTGCAATGTGTTATTAAGGAGTCTCTGCGCTTGTTCCCTTCTGTTCCAATTATTGCACGTACTTTGCATGAGGACTGTTATATTGGTAGGTACTGCAGTTTGTTTCTTTTAGTTTAGAATTTTGAAAAGTATACACAACCTGCTTTTCATAACGTAAAACAACTCCTGAAATTCAAAATTGAGGATTTTTTCTTTGTAATATGGCTGGATCGCTACATAGAATTCATTAGAATATATAGCAGAGAAAAAGACTCTTAGCCCAAACAAGCCATGATGACACTGTCTATGTTCCACACCCTCCTCCCATCATTCCTTGTGTATCTCTATCAATGTAACTACATAACCCCCTCTCTCTTACAATAACACAGCCCCTCTCAGACCATTCAATTCAAGCACTCCTTATGGTAGCAAATTCTGCATTCCACCATTGTCTATGTCAAGATGTTTCTTTTGAGTACCCTACTTGATTTCTTGGTAGCTATCTTGTTGGCCTGTTTTTTACCCTTTTCTCTATTTGCTTTATCAAAACTGTTTCATAAATTTAACAATCCTTATTAGGATACTCCACAACTTTCTCTTCTCAAGAAGAGACCCAGTCTGTTAATCCTTGGTCAACTCGGCCTAATATCATTCTTAGAAATCATTTTTGCAGTCACTCTAGTTCCTCTACAGTATTTTTCTGATATGCCAATCAGAAATATATTTATTATCCAGAGTGCGGGATAACTAAAGTTCAATGCAACAACAGCATAAGTTCTCTGCAGTACTATTCCTTAAGAAATGAATCTCAACAAGTGCAAGCCCACTGCTTTGTTGCACTTGCTTCAGCTTTATTGACATGTGTCGCATGATTTAGTATTTACACCACAAGATCCATTTGCTTCTCTACCCTGTCTTTTTGGAAAAAAAAAACACTTGGGGAAAATAAGAATTTTTTATTCAGTTGTGGGACATGGGCTCTGCTGGCCGGCCCATCCCTAGTTGCCCTAGAGGGTGGTGGTGACCTGTCTTCTTGAACTGCAGCAGTCCATGTGTTGTAGGTAGCCCTACAGTGCCCTAGCGGCGAAGATGGTGGAGCAGCAATAGCTGAGTTTCCGAGGGTAATTCAGGAGACACAGCAGAAATCCTTCCTAAGGAAGAAGGTACATAATAAGAGGAGGATGAGGTGACCATGGCTGACAAAAGAAGTCAGCGACAGCATAAAAGCCAAAGAAAGAGCATCCAATGTGGTTAAGATTAGTGAGAAGCCAGAGGATTGGGAAGATTGATTTTTTTAGAAAAACCAGTAGAGGATAACTATCAAAACAGCAATAAGGGAGGAAGAGATGAAATATGAAGGTAAGCTAGCTAGTAGTACAAAAGAAGATAGCAAGAGTTCTTTTAGGTATCTACAAGATATGAGAGAGGCGAGAGAGGCAAGAGTGGACACTGGACCACTGGAAAATGAGGCTGGTGAAGTAGTAATGGGGAATGAAGAAATGGTGAAGGAACTGAATAAGTACTTTGCATCAATTTTCACAGTGGAAGACACCACCAGCATACCAAACGTCAAGAGAGTCGGGTGGGGTGGGGGGTGTAGGAGCAGAGGTGAGACTCATGGCCATTGCTAAGGAGAAGGTACTGGGGAAGCTTGAAAAGTCTAAATTTGAATAAACCACCCAGACCAGTTGGACTGCACCCTAGAATTCTAAAAGAGATAGAGAAATGGAAAATGGCTAATGTAACATCACTGTTTCAGAAAGGAGAGAGGCAGAACACAGGAAACTGCAGGCTGGTTAACCTGACCTCAGACATTGGTCACATTTTAGAGTCCATTATTAAGGATGAGATTGCAGAGTACTTGGTTTTTTAAAAAAAAAGGCTGAGTCAGCACTCCTTCGCCATAGGAGGTCATACCTCTCAAATCTATTAGAATTCGTTCGAGGAGGTAACAAGTTAGACAAAGGAGAGCCAGTGGAAGTGATCTGTTTTAGATTTCCAGAAGGTGTTTGACAAGGTGCTGCACAGGAGGCTGCTAAATAAGGTAAGACCCCATGGTGTTAGGGGCAAGGTACTGGCATGGATAGAAGATTGGTTGACTGGCAGAAGGCCAGTTAGTGGGGCTAAAGTGGTCTTTTTCAGGATGGCAGTTGATGACTAGTGGTGTTCTGTAGGAGTCTGTATTGAGACCACAACTACTCACGTTATACGTTAATGATCTGAATGAAGGAACTGAGGGCATTGTTGCTAAATTTGTAGATGAGACAAAGATGATGGAGGGACAGGTCATGTTGAGGAAGCAGGGAGGCTGCAATAGGACTTGGACAGGCTAGGAGAGTGGACAAAGAAGTGACAGTTCGAATAAAGAAGCTTGAGATTACGTACTTTGGGCAGAATAGAGACACAGGCTATTTTCTAAATGGGAAAAGGCTTCGGAAATCTGAAGCACAAAGGGACTTGAGTCTTAATTCAGGATCTCTTCAGGTTAACATGCAGGTTCAGTTGGCAGTTAGGAAGGTAAATACAATGTCAGCATTCATTTCAAGAGGTCTGGAATACAAGAGTAGAAATGTACTTCTGAGGCTATATAAGGCTGTGGTCAGATGGCACTTGGAATATTGTGAGCAGTTTTGGGCCCCATATCTAAGGAAGGATGTGCTGGCCTTGGTGGGGGGGGGGTCTGCAGGGGAGGTTTATAAGAATGATCCCAAAGATGAAGGATATTGTCACATGAGGAGCAGTTGAGGACTCTGGGTCTTTACTCAAGGAGTTTAGAAGAATGAGGGAGGATCTCATTGAAAATTACTGAACACTGAGAGGCCTGGATAGAGTGGATGTGGATAAGATGTTTCCACTAGTAGAAGAGACTAGCAATGGGGGTGGGGGCTGGGACCAGCCTCAAAGTGAAGAGTTGACCCTTTAGAACTGAGATGAGAAGGAATTTCTTCAGCAGAGGGTGGTTAATCTGTGGAACTAATTGCCACAGAAGGCTGTGGAGGCCAAGT